CATCTATCCATCCATCTCCCACCCCGCCCCCCCAGGGTTTGGCCAACAGGGCCTCTCATCCGTACCTGGGTGGAGGGTTCCACCTGCCCACGTGGGCCCTGAGGAACTGTGGGTAGAGAGCCCTCAGAGAAACATATTTTCTTTCAAGTCAGTAATTAAATGGGCTTCGCCTGGTAAACATCTGGACATTCACTTGGTGGCTGAGCCAAGTGGAGAACTGGGTCCTGAGGACAGGAGGGCCACCAGCCTCGGAGACAGGACCCACTTTTCCCAGAGGGCTGCTCAGCACACAGTGACCATGTGGAGGGGGCGCCGCCTGAGCAGGGGTTTCCAGTGGTCTCCTAGGAGGGTTCCCAGGGCCACCAGGTTCGCCTACCGGCCTCCCCCTTGTCCACTCCACCAGCTCCTACCTCTGGGCTCCCACGCCCACCGCAGGGCCTTTGTACCTGGTGTCCCCTTACCTGGTCCCCTTGCCTGCGAGGCTCTACCTGCTCCCCCCAGGGATGAGCTCCCAGGTGCCCGGGCACTGCTGTCCACCGGGCTCCACGTCCACGTGAGGGAGGTAGGCAGCCTCCTCCTCCCACCAGACAGTCTGCCCCACCAGGACAGGGCTGCCTGGGAGCACCCAGCCCAGGACCTGGCACCTAAGAAACGGGTGTCCCTTGGCTCTCGAGGCCATAGGGAGACAGGGCCCCGTGAGGAGGGCACTCTTGCCTGGGCCACACAGGGAGTGACAGCAAGTCCACAGCTGTGTCCCCCCGGGCACCCTCCTCATGTTCCCCTCAAAACCACCCAATCCAGACTGGCCCTCGCCCCCCAGGAGCTAGTGGTGGCCATGTTGTTGCTCTCGGGCCCAGGCGAGGCTGTCCTCTGAAGCAGACCCTCGTCCCTCCGAGCCCCAACGTTCCCGCATTACACGCAGAGTGGGGCGCACAGGGTGGGGCGCGGAGCCTCTAAGGTCAAGGCCGAGGGCCACCTCTGGGTGACACATCTCTGCCCAACTGTGGAGCCCCATCCACTGCCCGTCTGGTGCCACCTGACCCTCCCTTGTCCACCCAGGTACCGGAAGGTGGTGTCCAACGTGTGTGAGGGTGGCGTGGACCTGCAGCAGAGCCCCGTGCAGCTCCAGTGCCCCCTCACCCCACCCCGGGGCCTCCGGGTGAGCATCCGCGGCGAGGCGGTGGCCGTGCGGCCCGGGGAGGACGTGCTGTTCATGGTGCGGCAGGAGCAGGTGAGTGGCTGGCCCGAGCTGTCACCTGCGGGGTGGCTCTGGGGGGCTGTGTGTCAGCTTGGAGCGTCACTGTGGATCCCAGCCTGCTGCAGCCCGCAGGAGGGACGGTGGGTGGGACCTCCGCCCTGGCCCGGGCCAGCGCCTGGGAGTGAAACAGACACAGGGGGTGGAAGGAGCGTTGTCATGTGGCAGGGGGACTTCTTCACCCCCTGATTATATGGATCTAGTTAATTTGGAATCCTAACAAAAGCAGGAAGTTAAAGAAGATCCCTATTATAATCACACAATCAAAAATGAGTTCTGTGCATGTGCATGTGCAAGGCTAGACACAAACCTAGCTCACACACACGTGTATCTGCACACAGACACGTAGGTATGTGACAAGTGCGTCCCCCGTCTCCCAACCTGTTTTTACTTTAGAACAAACGTTACATTTCCTTGTGATTTTAAAAATAGTGTGTTCATTGTAAAATATTTTGAGAATACAAAAAAAAAATCAAGAACATAAATATCATCAAAATTCTGCTCCCCAAAGGAACGATTAATTCTTGCATTTCCTTCTAGTCTTAAAATTAATAGGTAACATGCTTACGTTTCTGATTATGGAAATAACTAATGTTCATTGTAGGACATTTAAAGATGAAAACAGAAAACTTACGAATATTCAGGAAATGCAAGGTGCAGAGAAGTGCAGAGGGCTGGCCTTCCCTGCCGGGAGAGGGTCCCCGGACTCTGGCTCCCAGGGGACCTTCAGACAAACAGGGCTGATGGAGGGGGGCCTCCTGATCCCATCTGCTTTATTCAAATGTCCCTCAAGGTGGCACGGAGGTGGCTCGGGTTGTGACAATGAGCTCTGTGGGCTTGGAAAGCAGGCCCCTGCTCTGGTGCAAATTCAGAAAGGAAGGCTGAGGAGGACGCGGGCTGGTCCAGGCCAAGGCCCAGCCGTGGGCAGTCACTCAGCCACTGTCCGTTGCTTTATAGTGGGGGAGACTGAGGCTTGGACAGGCTTCTCCCCCTGCCAACCTAGACAGGGGCCACCTAGACCCTCAGTGGACCCCGGATAGCCTTCCTGGAAACATGGCATCTGCTGCCCCCTGGAGCCTGGCAGCTGGGCCCCAGGTACGGATTCTCCTACCCAGAGTGCAGATGGGCTGCCCCTCTCAGGCCCACGCCTGCTTTCCAGCCTGCCCAGGGCCGGGYTCCCAGGCTGTGCACTGGCTGCCTGCTGGGCCTGCTCCACAGCACACGCGGGGCTGGGAGGCGCTCCTGGAAGATGGGCCCCGGGGACCCCTGGCCTGGAAGAGCCTGCTGGCCTCCTTGGGGGCCAGGGAGGGACGCGTGCCCCCCGCACACACCAGCTCGCTGATGGACACGTTCCCACACGTTCCCACATCCCCTCCCTGCACACTCACACACTCGCAGGTGTTTGTGCAGTCGCACACCCACACACACGTGGGCCACGCTGGGCTTGGAGGCAGCCCTGGATCAGGGGAGTCCGTGTTGAGGCCTCTAGGACCAACAGTAAGATCTGGGGCAGAGCCGAGAGCGGACCCATGGGAAGACGCCAGGATCCCCATGGGGCAGAAGGGTCTAGTGTGGGAGGGACGGCCTCTCCCTCCAGGGACAAGGCCACCACCAACCTCACCGCTGACACAAAGACACATTCAGAAGGGAGCCCGGGCTGAGATGGAAGAAGAACATGGAAACTTCTAGAAAAATCCTCAGAGAAAACCTTTGAGATGCCGCCCGAGTCCTTAGGCTGGACAGGAAGGGCACAGCCGAGAGGGAAGTGGACAGACTGGCCCGTCCTCAAGACACTGGCTCTGGGACAGGCCCTCAGGGAGGGGAAAGCCTGCAGCCCAGCGAGAGGAAGCCACCTGGGACTCCACGGAGAGCGACCAGCCAGCTGGGCACGGCCAGCCCCACTGGAGGCGTCTGCCCAAGCAGCACGTGCACAGGAGAAATGGGCACAGAAAGTGTCGCCCGCTGCAGGGTCCACGGGCAGCTGCACATTGAAACCAGGTAGAGCCGGCTGCCTGGGATGCCTGCTCCCTCCCCGAGCAGCGAGCAGCGGACGGCTTCCCTCCTTCCTCCCCCGGAGGAGCGCCCTGTGGCAGCCGAGGACTCCCCATCACAGCACAGGCGTCGGGTCAGCAGACGACTGCTGGGGGCCCCCAGCAGCCCAGGCTCTCCTCCTGCAGCTTCTGAGGGGCCCAGGGCTCCGTGGGCTGTGCACGGCCACGAAACGCCAGGGTCTGCGCCATCCACAGGGCTCCTCCTCTGCACCCGCATGTCCCTCGCCTCCCCGTAAGGACACGGGTTCAGGGCCCGCCCCACCCCAGGACAACCTCATCTTAACTACTTACGTCTGCCAAGACCCCACTTCCAAGTGAGGTCCCATTCGGAAGCTCCAGTGGACATGAACTCTGGGGGACACTGTCCAACCTGGTCCACCATCTTTGTGGAGAAGTTGGTGTACGTAACGGATGTGGAGTGTCCTGCAAGATCGACACCTGCTGGGGTGCATGAAGGCACTGAGTGGTTGGCAATAGCCCCCTGTCACTGGGACGCGGCTTCCTGGACACACTGGGGGGAGGGGCCTGGTAGGAAAGGGGCAGGGAGGGCAGGAGGGGGCCAGCGAGGGGGAGTGTGGACTTAAATGGAGAAGGGCGGTGGAGAGACGGGGCCCTGGGCAGAAGCAGCCCAAGGGCATGTCCCTACATCCTCCCGCCACCCAAGGCTCCCAGCAGGCCATTCAGCTATGAAGCCATCAATGGATGGTGGTCAGAGTTTACCCTGGACATGGCTGCACTGGGACCAGGCCTCTGCTTTGTGAGCCTCTGGGGACACTGCAGACCCAAGCTGGGACCCTTGCTGTTTCTCCAGCATGGGGGGATGTGTCAGGAGGAGGCTGCTCATGGTGGGGAGTGCTCAGGTCACAGGGGCCCGCCCCCCCCAGCCCCACTGCACACTTAGGGTGACAAAAGAGAAACCAGAGCGAGATGTCCTGGTTACATTACAGAAGCCCTACTCAGTATGAGGGAACTCGTCTCACCCCCAGCTCCATGACCAGGCCCAGGCCTTGGGGGTCCCCCGGGACCCTCACCCAGTCCCACAATGCCTGACACCACCTCTGTCCTCCTCCTCCACCTGCAGCTGGGCAACTGTTCTGAAATGCACCCCTGACCATGGCCCCTGCTAAGTCCTCCTGACTGTCCCTTCAGCTCACTCAGGCTGGGATTCTGAGGGCAGGACCAGACCTGTCCTTAATGTGAAGTGACCCTGAGCTGGCCCCTCAGCTTCTAGGGCCACTTCTGAGTGGCCTCTTGGTGCTTCCTGCAGGGAGATGTCCTGACCACCAAGTATCAGGTGGACCTTGGGGATGGCTTCAAGGCCATGTACGTGAACCTCACACTAACTGGAGAGCCCATCCGGCACCGATACGAGAGTCCTGGCATCTACCGCGTGTCTGTCAGGGCAGAGAACATGGCGGGGCATGATGAGGCGGTGCTGTTTGTCCAGGTCAACTGTAAGTCCAGCACCTCTTTGAAGCTGAGAGCCTTTCCTTGTGACAGGGACATTCTGGTCCTTGGAGAAGAACAAGGGGTCCCTTGGGGATGGTGATAAGGGTGGTGATGGTGATGTGCCATGGTGATTATAGGGGTGGTGACGGTGATGAGGATGGTGATGGTGGTGATGATGCTGGTGATGGGGGTGGTGATTATGGTGGTAGTGGTAATAATAGTGATGATGATGGTGACAATGGTGGTGATGGTGGTGGTGGTGGTGATGATGGTGTTGATGGTGATGATGGTGGCAATGATGATATTGATGGTGATGATGATGGTGATGATGGCCATGATAGTGAGGATGATGATGGAGATGGTGGTGATTATGGTGGTAATGGTAATAATGATGTTAGTGATGGTGGTGATGATAGTGGTGATGGTGATGGTGGTGATGATGATGGTGGTGATGGTTATGAGGTGATAATGATGGTGGTGATGATAGTGATGGTGGTGGTGATGATGGTGATGGTGGTGATGATGATGGTGATGATGGTGATGAGGTGATAATGATGGTGGTGATGA